TTTTGATTAGAGTTCTTGGTTACAAATTTTACAGTATGATTTTTAGAAATTCAAAACTTGCTGTTTTTCAAAATAAATATAAGACTTGTTTGACATAATGACGGTGTTATCACTCAATTACACTTTTCAAATTGTACTTGAAGGTAAGCTTACTCAAAAAGGCTTTGACATGAATGTAAAGAAGCTCTTGACAGCAGAGAATTCAGGTAGGGATTGATAATTTTGTGCAGAATTTAATCCTGTATTTAAAATCTGTTTAGCATGTAATGTCAGAGTAAACATTAGAATATAACTGCAATATGTTTTGAAATTAAATGACAGTTCAGAAGTCCTAGATGGTAGTACAATTCATGTTTCACATCTTAGCCACATTTTATTTACAGATGACTCTACCTCAAAACGTGCCAATGAATTTCTGAGTAAGTAAGCCGAAATATATCTTCACAGCCAAATGAAATGTAAAAATCACTATGTATCACTTTTCAGAATGTTCATCTTTACTTTTTTATGCCTTACAGGTGCAGCAGAGGCATTTGGCAAAGCCAAAAAACTACTTAAGCCTCAAGTAAAGAGAAAACAGTTTCCACTAAGTAAAAATTGTTCGAGTCATGACAAATCAGTACTTAAGGTGTGTTTTTACAAGTGAAGCTTATAGGAAAACTATCACCCAAGATCCAAAATTTAATATCTAAAGTGCTATATTTTTCGTTTGACTTGTTTCCTTTAACGCTAGATTCGAATGGCTCCCATGGAGTGGAAGCCAAAATCCCTAAGAAAGTCTGGACGGTACCAGAAATTAATACTGGATGAAACTCCACCTCCAATCATTCTGCAAGGCCACGAAACATATGATGATTTAGTCAACATAGGCAAGGAGCATTTTTGGCCAGAGCACATTGAAGGGAGTGAGTTCACCCTTTGCAATTCTGACGGGACGAGGTGGAGTAAGGAGGACTTCCATAAAGAATACAAAACCATTTCCGAAATGAAACATCATTGGAAAAGAATAATATTTATTGGGCGAAGACAACAGGGTAATTAACAATACAGTGCTCCATTTTACTGTTAACTATTGTCAAGCTTGTACACTGGAATAGATTTTTTTAATGTAATAATTTCTTTTTTTTTACAGAGGTCATTTGCTTGGATAACCAAAGTTCTACCTCAGGTACAGTGTGTATCTCCCAGTAATATAAATGTTAGGTGCTGGATGATTGAATGTCCAAACCAGTCCATAAAGCCTGACTATGTATTATGCTATTTAATATTGTTTTGCATAATGCCTTTTACAGATGAAGATCCTAAAAATCAAGTGTTGGATGTTGAAAGTTGGACTTCAGGTGAATACATGTGCATTTAAGTCAACAAATTAATTTTTTTAACTGCCATATATTATTTGAAATGATAATGTTGGTGAGTATTTTGTAATGAATGTCAATTTTTTTCAACAGTGCCCTGACATGTTTATGATTTAGTGCTATCTAAGTAAAATTAATTGAAGTTTTCTACATTTGCATGCAGACGATCATCGTGATTCTCACATTGGCCGAACACTTGAAGACCAGGTGACACCATAACTTATTATTGTGTTGATGGTATAATGTCATGATTCCACAGTGTAGAATGCAGTAAGTATATTTTGTTTAAATGTGTTCATAGGATTGTCATCCAGACACATCCAGCAGACCTGAATCAGGGAGAGTCAGAAAGAAAAGCAAGCAGAAGACAAAAATGGAGGAAAATGCAGGGTCATCTGTAGGCGCAGCTGCAGCAATGAGCCAAGATGAATATGGAGTTATAGAGGCAAAAGACAATGTGGAAGGACCAGAAGAACTATCTGAAGATTCAGCAAGTAG